ACTGTGAGTGATCGTTTGTTCTGCTTGAGCGCTCGGTTGTGCATTTCGGAAGCGAGTCTTTATTGATTGCCATGTCTGCATAGCTGACTGTGTCCCATGTACATCAGAAATTAGTCCATTGAAAAATCTTTTGGCGGTTGACCGAAAGGGTTGCACGTCTGCCTTGCAATCCTTTGGTCACTAGTTCGAATCCGCGTATGGGCGGACGTCTACGCGGTAAACTCATCCCGCGCGCGACTGATGGTGGTCACATCGCATCGAGGCATCGGTATAGTGTGCCGCGTACTGCTGATGACTTCCTCTTTAGACTATTCCATGATCACAATGAAATTCCATGAACCTACTCGTGCACATTTCCTTTATCACTCCATTTGTCCAGGACTGCGGTGTTGAGCTTCTCCCTGGAGACAGACTCACGGACTTGGACTACGCCGATGATATCGCCTTGCTGGGGGACGACCCACAATCCGTCCAGAACGCTCTGGACCGCTTGGCGATGGAGGCGTCTAAGTACGGCCTGTGCTTCACTCCGGGAAAATGTAAAACGCTGCTCCAGGATTGGCAGGTGCCTGAACCCTCGCTCACCATTGCTGGACATGTTCTGGAGCAAGTCCCTTGCTTCACTTACCTAGGGAGTTGCATCACGGCTGGTGGCGGTGTTGGAGATGAAGTCTCACAACGGATTGCAAAGGCCCGCCTTGCATTCATCAAACTGAGACATCTATGGCGTCGTCGTGATGTCAGTCTCAAGCTCAAGGGCAGGGTGTACAATGCTTCCGTCCGTGCAGTACTCTTGTACGGCTGTGAGACTTGGCCTATTCGCTCGGAAGATATGAAGCGGCTATCAGTCTTTGATAATCGCTGTCTACGAAGGATTGCTAGGGTGTGGTGGCAACACCACGTAAGCAACGCAGAGGTGAGAGACCGCGTGCTTGGGGCGAATAGTGCCAGTCTTCAAGACGTTATTCTCCGACATCGCATGCGCTGGCTCGGGCATGTTCTGCGCATGCCAGCCCATCGCCTTCCATTCGAGCGCTATTTGCACTCCCAGGGAGCGATTGGAAAAAGTGCCGCAGTGGACAGCCGATGACGTGGAGAAGGAGTATGAAGAAGGCGACCTCAAGTTTGGCAGCAGTCGGACCACGAGATGCTGAATTGCAGTGGTTGGAAACATTGGACGTCATGGCCGCAACAGACATCAGTGGCGGCAATGTTGTTCCGCAATTTCACCATCCCTTTGATACACACAAAAACTCACAAAACAAAACAAAACAAAACAAAATGGCGTGTGTAAAACCAAAAAAATTCGTTTCCATATTTTTTAATCGCATTAGTGTCCCCATCTTCTTCACCTTTTTCTTCTGCCGTGGTTCTGATGGCACAATGTCTGTTAACAGACTGTGAATATTATATATATATAATATATATATATATATATTATATATTATATATATATATATATATAAAATTTTGTACCTGGTCGGCAACTAACCGTGTGGACAAAGTGTCCGACTTCTAACTCACTGATCACCGTTTCGATCCTACTCGGGTTCGAGCGACTTAACGATATCACTAACCCCCACTCGACTGTTACAAAGCGTCGGTACGGCTTATTGGCTTACCATCATGAGCCATACTTTTCCTCACATTTCCCTTGGGCTACTATGGGCTATTTAGCCAAAACTGCGACATACGTTTTTTGTCAGTTGGCAGGCGAAGGCATGCAGCCACTTTGTATGGCTTCATGGTTAGGATTTCATCAAAATGAGTTGTGAAGGTGACATCCTCACGAACGGCTGAAATATTTCTATTTACCTTTTTAGGTTATATCTGAGATTTCATCAACATATCTACCATCATGCTTCGGCGCAATCTCAGTTTGCCTCCTAACAAACAGAGGCAGACTGGAGTTTCATTGCCTCCATCGCACATGAGGTAAGTTGCTGCACCTCATATTTTTGCGATAGGGCCTCCAGTGTTGTGCCACATTGTGATCAACGGATTTCACAACGTGATACGAAATCTAAAGCTTTCGTAACTAGAGCTATAACCAACTTGATTGAGGTTCGCACAGTTCGGCCAACGTGTGACGCATCAACAGTTTTTAGAGTCTACTGAGTATCCCAACGCCATTTCTACTCGTCTGCTTCAATCCCCCAGTTCAAAAGAAATATTTTGCATTTTTGAGCATGTAATACGCCAAATATCGCCCACGTATCGTATTGGACGACCAGGAACAAAAGTGGAAGATTCATGCCTTGAGTGAGTCCCATGCTCACTTAGCGGATTGTTATTCAGCGCGCTAACGAAGCTAGGCTATCCATATGTGCTAAGCAAACAGTACTTGGCCACTCCGGGTGCTCCGCACGCTTGGCCATCCGTGCTCGCGGCACTAGATTGGCTTCGTGAGCAAGTGGTTGAGACACATGAAGTATGTTTTGTTCCTCTTATCCTACTTGTCCACTCAAGCTTCGGAAATCCGACTCTTTGTTTAAGTATGACGACGAACAAGACACTACACGGGAACCGGTGGGCAAGGTTCTTTACGAATGTACTCTAGCCGAACTCAACGGACAACGGTCCATGGATGAACTGGCACAGGTGAGTCTATTTGTATCACATATCTTCATTTGTCACCTGCTTTGCCTTGGATCCTAGTGGTATTTCTGTCGCGACGTAATACAATCGTTTACTGTTTTTGTTCTCCTGAGTCCACTTGTAGTGAATTCCATCTGTTCTTTGATCGTCTTAACACACACCGCATAGCCACCATCATCTTTAGCGTCACATTGGCATTGCGTACTGATGTTTCGCCACTGCGTCCACAGATGCGAACTAAACTGCCCACTGTCAGTCACCTTTTCGTACTCTAGTGGTGACCCTATTCTCAAAGGCCATCGTTCAAATCTTTATTCCGTCGATTGCTACCCTGAGTACTCGCATGAATTGTTAGGGTGCTTTCTATGAACTACGCATAGTAAGTCCTATTTCATGCGTGCCAACAAATGTTTTACGAAGTTACCATAAAGGGGTTTGGAATGTCATTCTTTGGATTATCTTATGCTCTGTACGTGCCTGTGTGGTCTTACGGTAAGAACTAGTTTTCACGACTGAATATTTGACCATCAGGTTGCGTCGAGTCTTGTTTTGCACTTGGGATTTGTATTGTCCGTCATGATAGTTTTACTCGATTAGTTCCCAGCTCACTACGGAGTGGCAAGTCTGAAACGATCATCCAGCCACAGTGCGATGTATGCTCCCACGGACTTCCGCTTAAACACAATTAAAGATGATTTCTGTCATAGACTCACTGGTCTTTGTACTAATCGTCACACGAACATCATGCAATATATCCAAAGTCGCAAGTTGGTAGACCCGGTGGTTACCATAAGCCATGGTCTTCACAGATCGGATAACGGGGGTCTTGGTGAGTTTCCATCGCGCACCACCTTTTATCAATCTTAGCGCCAACTCGCTGCTTAGTCGTTGATACAGGTTGCTCACATCTCCGCCACTCACCTACCTCTTCGGGTCACACACTCATGTGTGCTCAAGTTACGTTTTAATGGCACCGGTCAGTGCCACCTAAAATGACTTCACTTTCCCAGTGCCGTTCGCGATATTTCGGCCTTAAACTTCAATTGTTCCCCGTGCTCAGACATTAAAGTGCACCAGACACAAACCTGCTACACCCTGCTAAAATCTAATATTACTAATAGCCTGCGTGCCACTTCATCATGCTTGATGCTCTGGCCGTCGCAGAGGATAATAAACGGCGCCCTATCTGCTGCATCGAGCAGGGTGGATAGGGGTTTGGATGCTACTGCTCAGGCCTTCCCGTCTTCTTACACCCCTTCTTGTGCTTCTGCATCCTTATTGTCCCGCTCCAACTTTACTTATATCCCCCCCATTTTCAATCCCTCAATTCTTGGTCCTCCCCCAGCTTACTTCAATAGTCGCTTGTCTTCTAATTTCAAATCACACACAATCGCAGGGCCTCGCTCCAATCCAGTCGACAAGTCCATGTTCAAGCAAGCGGACAACGTCAGTTCATCCGTTTCCCTTTGGAGTCCTCGTGTCTCGCTAAGATTGGCATGCCTCAACGTGCGCACTTTGCTGCAGATTGGCCAACAGGCAGCACTTGCCCGCACATTAGAGACCCTATCGATCGATATTTGCTGTTTATCAGAAACCCGCCTGCAAGGTTCGAGCTCCGTGCTTACCCTGAGATCCCCCACATGCGACACTGGCGGCACATTCTCATTGCGCCTATCTGGCGATGATGCAGCTTCAAATGCCGGTCAAGCTGGCGTCGGCATTGTTTTGAGTCCCCGGGCTGAAGCTGCCTTGCTTGATTGGATCCCAGTAAACAGTAGAATGTGCGCCGTTAGATTAGCTGGTTCGTTCCGTGCTTCGAAGTCGCGCGGGGACAAACGGTGCCTGTTTGTCATTGCGGCCTACGCCCCTACAAACTGTAGCACTGATTCGGTAAAAGATGATTTCTATCAGCAACTTCACGAGCTCCTTCGTTACAGAAGGAGTACGGATACTGTGGTGCTGGCTGGCGATCTAAACGCCCAAGTCGGAAAGTTGTCCTCTGATGAGCTTCATCTGGGCGGCCAACATGGTGTAGGCTCCCGTAATGATAATGGTGAGCGATTGCTCCAGCTGTGTGAAGATGCTCGCCTGTTTCTCGCGAGCACTAACTTTCGACACAGCACCCGCAGAAGTGTGACTTGGCGGCCACCAGCCTCGGGCCAGTCATGGACGCAAATCGATCATATCGCGATCAGTTACCGCTGGAGAGGCTGTGTCCAAAACTGTCGCTCGATTTGGAGCACGAGCGTGGACTCTGACCACGCACTTGTATGTGCCGACCTCCTGATGCGTTTCGGTGGACGTCCGCAACGTCGATGTGAACGGATTGACACTAGCCAGCTTGCGAAGTCAGATGTTCTGAATGTGTACCAAGATGCGCTGACATCTGGGCTGAGTAAGCGCCCACTAAACACCGTTGAAGATCACTGGTCGCATACTCGTCAAGCGTTGCTGTTAGCAGGCATGTCTTCATGTGGCAAAACAAATTGCAAAACCGGACATTGGGTCTCTACACAGTCTCTCGAACTTATGGATGCTCGCCGACGTATTCCGGCTGGAAGCGTATACAATGAAGCACGCAAAAATCTCAGGGCGAAACTACGTGCTAGCCTAAAGAAGGACCGCGAAACCTGGTGGTCTCATCGTGCCTTTGAGATGGAAACTGCCGCTGCCATTGGTAATCATCGTGAGTTATACCGTCTGATACGGGCAACAGGCAGCAGAAGACCTGGTGTTAGCGAGACCATACGCGACGAGAGTGGGCAGATGATCCACAGCCTGTCAAAACGCTTAAAGCGTTGGGCTGAACACTTTGCTATGCAATTTAACCAACCTGAGTTATCGTTTTCTTCTTCGGGCATTGAGCGCCCTTCTCCTTGGGCCGTCTCCTTGGATCCGCCCTCACGCGCAGAAGTCGAATGTGAGATCAAGCTGTTGAAATTGCATAAGGCCGCAGGAGCAGATACGATTCCTCCAGCCCTCTTCAAATTCGGTGGACCTGCTCTAGTAGATGATCTACACGAGTTGCTAGTAAAACTTTGGGAGCAGGAGACAGTCCCGACAGACTGGAACCGCTCCGTCATTGTCCCAATTTTCAAGGGAGGCTCCCGTTTAGAATGTGGCAATCATAGAGGGATCAGTCTGATTTCGATTGCCTCTAAATTGCTTGCCTCTCTCATTCTCCACAGACTGAGTGGCACTCGTGAAAGCCAGATTCGTGAAGAGCAAGCCGGATTTCGTCGAGGTCGGGGCTGCATCGACCACATCTTCACGTTGCGTCAAGTGTTGGAGCACCGCCATGTTTATTGGCGACCCACCGTTGTCGTGTTTCTTGACATAAAAGGTGCCTTCGACTCAGTCGATCGATGTGCCCTTTGGGACTGTCTGTTGAGGAAAGGTGTGCCTGATAAATATGTAAATATTATCAGAGCGCTGTACGCACATAGTTCGGGCAGGGTGAGGGTTTATGGCAAACTCTCGCCACCCTTCAGTATCACCAGCGGTGTGAGACAAGGATGCCCGCTGTCACCTTTCCTCTTCAACTTCGCTATTGATGAAGTCATGGAAACAGCGTTCGCTGGACACGACCTAGAAGGTGTGGAGCTACTCCCTGGTGAGCGACTTCTTGACTTGGAGTATGCAGACGATATTGCCCTAATCTGTGACAGCTCCCAAACATGCCAAACAGCACTGAACCGATTAGCACTGGCTGTCAATCGTTTTGGGCTATGGTTTGCTCCATCGAAATGCAAAGTACTTCTCCAAGATTGGCAGGGACCCAACCCTGCGCTAACGCTTGGTGGTGATCTGCTAGAAGTCGTTCAGGAATTCAAGTACCTGGGCAGCTATATTAGCACCCGTGGGATTGAAGATGAGGTTACGAACCGTATAGCAAAAGCTCGAGGTGCTTTTGCCAATCTCCGTCACCTGTGGCGCAGACGCGACATTACTCTCGCCCTGAAGGGCAGAGTTTACAACGCAGCCGTCCGTTCAACTCTCCTATATGGCTGTGAAACCTGGCCCATCAGGTCGACAGACATGAAGAGACTCGTCACATTCGATCATCGCTGCCTTCGCAGCTTAGCTCATGTCTGGTGGGAACACCGCGTGAGCAATGAGCGTGTTCGACGTCGCGTATTTGGTACAGGAAGAGCGAGTGAACCGCTCAGCACGATTATATCACGCACCAGGCTCCGATGGCTGGGCCACGTGTTGCGCATGCCAGCACACCGACTCCCACGACGTGCTTTGTTTACGCGTTGTGGGTGCGGTTGGAAGAGGAGGAGGGGAGGCCAAGTGATGACTTGGTCGAGAGAAATGAAAACCCTCACTTCGAAGTTGGCGTCGGTTGGTGCATCCCGACTGCCTGGTTGGGGTCCTAAGGACGGTGAACACGTTTGGTTGGACACACTTGCTGATATGGCTAGGTGCCGGCCCCAATGGCGTTTGTGTTGTGAGTTCATTTGTCCATCCCCCTCCTGTTTAGCATCCCCCTCCAATCACGATCTCAATCGTTTGGCATAGTATGACTTTCTTTTACGGCAGCCAGCTGTTAGCTCTCCGGAACGATGTCCATCCGTTACTGGGGACTCAGCGGGCGTGCCACTGTTTGTTGTTGTTGTTTTGTTTTTTCTTCTTTTCTTGCCTTTTGTATTGCGGCACAATAGCTGAGGTGTTTTCCACCTCCAGCTAACGTGTAATGATGATGATGATGAATTGTACTAGATTTAAAAGCTGGTTGTAAAGAGATGCCCCACTGCACTAGTAAGACTCGATATTAGGGTTGTCGGCGCTAGGTTCCAGCCGTAGCAAAAATACTACTCTGGTTTGTTTTCGGGTTACACATGGTGGCCGGTAAATCTACGTGAAGCCGTGGGTGCTACCTAGTGTGCCATCAAGCCTTCAGGTTTTGCTATATTTGGTGATGTAAAGGTTAGATCATTAAATGGTATGAGCCGTCTCAGCGTCTGACATTGGGAGTGCAAGGATTTAATATCGGATGAATCTGATAAACGGATTAGCAGTGGACCGGAGTGCTCCCCTGTCGATGGTTGGAGCGTTATACCTGAGATAAGGCGCCTTTTTAGAGTTAGGTTCCATCTGAGTGTTCGCAGAATATCGGCTACTTTGTACTTATTAGCTATATTTAAAGCTAGGACTTTTATTGGGCCA